AGCATTCCTGGCAGAACGTCTATCTATCTATGTATCTATCTATCTATCTATCTATCTATATATATATATATATATATATATATATATATATATATAGTGGGGAAAATAAGTATTTCATCCCATGTTGATTTTCTTGAGTTTGCCACCTTACAACTATAGGAACGGTCTATAATTTTCAGGGTTGGTCCGTCTTGAAAGTGAGAGATAGAATATAAAAAATTCTAGAAAATCACATTATATTAGTTTTGAATTAATTTCCATATATATATATATATATATATTATATATATATATATATTGCTGATGGTCCCTGGCGAGTGGACGGAGTGATAAGTCTACGAAATTCTGGTGTGTAGATGCTGAAGGCAATCAGTTCAGTGAAAAACATTTTACTTGCGTCAATTATATATATATATATATATATACACACAAGTATATAATCTCCTCATTAATTTTAAAATTTTTAAACTTAGTAGTGCTTAAATTTGGATTTTAAAATTGGCAGTTTTTAATTTTAATATCAAATTTTATCATATAATTTAGTAATTGTTGGTTAGAATAAATTCTTTTTTAATATTAACCGTATTTTAAAGATTTAAATAGCTTTTATAACATGACTTCGTTGTCAAGATTTTTGAATTTTCCTATACTTGTATTTTGATTGGTCATCCTAGCTTTCGTAACAGCGTTTTCCCCTTGCGAAGGATCGTTAATTAATATGAAACTTTTAAAACCATTTATTTTACATTCAACATTATCACTTGATAAGACACCGAGGGTGTTGAAACAAAATGGCTATTTTTGTAGTGATTTTATAACATATTTATGTTATATTTTTTTAAATAATTATATATATATATATATATATATATATATATATATATATATATATATATATAAAAGCATCCATTGTCAGGCCTTTTACAGGTGAATCTTTTTGTAAAAAATAAAATATGCACAGACTGAGATAGATATGAATAGACTAAGATATAAAGGTATGAACAGACGGAAATAAATCTCCTCACACTTTGGGAAACTAATTTAAAATCATTTATTTCTTCCAAGTAATTCTCTTGGCCTTGGTTTGAAAATCTGGAAAATCTCCCAATTTCAAGAGAATTGTCTATTGAGTCACCAGATGATTCTTTCATTGCACTTTCGACTTTCGTTATTGCACTCTATTAGTTATCACTTTTTCCTTTATCGCTCTCCTTCTTTTCAGGACTGTAATATATTAAACAAAATTTCTGATAATATAGAAATAACTCTTTTTCTACATCCATCTACAAATATTTTTGGGTCTGGTGATTTTAATGCTCATTACGGCAAGTATCTTAAATATTCTAATGTTACTGACGTTGCCGGTATTCAAATATTTAATTTTTTCATTGCTCAGTTTATAAGTCACATAGTGGATTTCGCTAATTAATTCCGTAATAATCAACATACTTCTTTACTCGATTTGGCCTTCACTCCCTCTCCTGACACTTGTCGAGTATCACAACTGTCTTCTTAGCCGTACTGTCTGTTGGTTTTTCTTTTTAGTTGTCAAATAGACAGAAACCTTCTATTCACAAGACTTATTTCTGTTACTAACATACTGATTGGGATTAACTTCATGATTTTCTCCGTGACACCCCTTGGATTGTTATTTTTACTCTTCCTATTTAGAATTTGGCCACTGATGTTTCTTCTCAGATAAAGGCCGGTATCTCATTTTTTTTAGCTTCTCAGAAATACCGTATGAAACCACAATCTTCTTCGTGATTCACTGCTTCCTATTCTACTAAGACGCAAGGGGCTACTTGAAGTGGAATAGAATGAGAAGACGTTAGTGAAGAAAAAGGTCAATAAAGGAATAGGTTTCAGGGAGACAGGAGATGGCAATTGACGTTGTGTTTAGATTTTTGAAGAGTGTTAGCGGCAGGGAAGGAAGAAATCGAAAGGTAGTTCCAATTGCGAAAAAAGAGAAGTATTAGAATAGAACTTACGGTTGCATTTACGTAGTTCAATAGTGGGACCTAGATGCCAATCTAGTAGCCCATTTACATTCGTGCAGTCGAGGGACTAAAAAGAACAGCTCATCAGAAAAATTGCCATGAAAATATTTGTAGAAAAGATAAAGGGAAGCCACGTCACGTCGGTGAGAAAGTGACTGATGTCAAGATATCAAACCAGGATTACAGACCCTTCATTTAATTTTGTTAAATATCAACAATTATACAATAGAATACAAATTTTTGAGACATTCCTTGCCCCAGTTAACCACTGATTGCAGGTCATCTTCGAGGGCAGTTGCCAGTTTTACTTTTGTCAGATTTTCCGGACTTTCTACTAAGACAGCTGTAAATAGTTCTGTCATCTGCATGTCGGGACTGATGACATCGGGAAAATCGTTAATAAAAAAAAAAAGTGCAGGACTGTTTACTGCTGTCTTAATGGTAATTCTGGTGAGTTCGATAAGCTCAAAATAGCAGCTAACCTAAAAAAATGAGCTACAGTCCGTTGTTAACTAAGGCAAGAATTGGCTTGTTAATTTTAACTTCTCCAAAACGAAACTGCTCTTTTTTAATCGGTTTAGAAAACTGTTTTTGCCTTTCCATCTGCATGGCTGTTGCTAACCTCCATGAGAGTGAGACATTGCGACTTCTTCGGCTAACGTTTTTTGCTGACATAAAGTAGAAATGTTATATTGAATCAATTGCTGGATCCACTGGTAGGAAAGTTGATTCACTGTGCCGTGTTAGACTTACATATTTATAAGTATACCGTTCTTCTATGCATTGAATATTTGATATATGGTCCGCTGCTTCTGCTATGTATTTAGAGATTCTTGAGAAAATCCAAAGAACCTGCAATGTTATCGGTCCTGACCTGGCATCTCTCCTTCTGTCACGTTCCCACTGTCGTAACGTAACTTCCTTGTGCCTTTTACTATTTTGTTCATTATTTACAATATTCGGACTGTTTTCCCCGTCTTTAACGCCATATTGACGACGTTTCGGCCGTTGTACGCGCCGGTCTTCTTCAAGTAATTGGAATTTCGAACTGAACCCTTCATTTCGTCCACCGGGCTATATTGTTCTAATTCCACGTGCCATGCCTCTTCCGGGTGTCTTTTATCTCCCTTTAACTCAACTCTCCAAGTTTTGTTCATCACTGCCGTAACTAGGTATTGAACACACAACTCTTTAGATCAAGTCACTAGATCCCACCAGCGCTTTTATCCATGGATCCTCGAGGACACATGGTGTATGAGATATCTAAGATATCCGAAAGAGGTATGGAACGTGGAACTAGAACAAGGTACACCGGTGGACGAAATAAAGAGTTCAGTTCGAAATTCCAATCACCTGAAGAAGGCCGGAGCATACAACGGCCGAAACGTCGTGAATATGGCAAAAAAAGATGAGTGCAACATTCCGAAAGATGTAAATAATTACGTAATTCTTCGAGTCTAGAACAAACAACAACAGAACTCAGAAAGCACTGGACGTTTTGTCCTATATGGGGGAAGCATCAGCAGTGCGCATCCAATACCGAGAATTGAAACCCGGAGAGTTACGTTATCAAGCAAACGCCATACCAACTGTACAAACGGGTCTCGATAACGAAGAAAGCAGCGAATTAGCCTCGATATAGCGCATATTCAAGTAATTCATCGAGTCTACTTAATTATAATTATCTCAAATCATCCTAATAATTTTTATCACTTGTATATCCTTGCTTGAACCAGCTTTTAATGCTCTGGATGGAGTCGCTTGGAGATACTAGTCATAGCTCGTGGAGGCACAGTGCTACTGTTAAGGAGAAACTCGGATGAGTTCCACGACGGTATATGTGATCGAGCAGCGCTATATCGAGTCCAATTTGCAACACCTTCGTCACCGATGCCCATTGGTACAGTTGGTATGACGTTTGCCTGGCAAGGTAACTGCCCGGGTTTCCATTCTCAGTAGTGTGATAAGCACTGCTAATGAGTCTTAAATATAGAACGAAACGGTGCTTTCTGTTGAGGTTTCTTCTGGACTCGGTGAATTACTTAATTATCTCAAATCCTCCTAAAAATTTCTATCAAATGTAAATAATTACAATACCTCAGAAATGAAATATTTGGCCCATTTCTTTACCATATTTTACTGAATATATTCAACCTTTCTCGGTCTCTCATGTCTTAGATAAATAACAATTACAGTATCCCCCGATCCTTTTCTGCATTTTCCCGTTTCTTAGAATACATAATCGTCAATTACATAATAGTGTCAAAGACTTTAGACATGAGATTATCAACCTTCGAAGAATTCATCAGAAAAACTAAATAAGTAGACAAACATGTCCTTTCTTTTACTATGTTTTTAGAACAACTAATCGATGCAAAAATATCGTAAAACTGTTCTCCACACTTCGCCCTATTTGTATTATTTTTATAAATATGGCAGTCGTTGTTGTCTCTCTATTTATCTAATTTATAAAATGTATTATGTCAGTTTTATCTTGCTGGATCAATGGCCACCAAATCCCCAAACCTTCTCCTCTGGAGGATTTTATAGATGCATAACTGGAAATATCATCAGCAATTTATGCATCTCATCTCAGATTCACTTCAAATAAAGAGCAAATAAAAGCCAATAAAATGGGACATAAGTTGATGTACAGAAGTCTCATATCACTAGATGGCGCCTTTAGCTACTATTTCTGTTTGACTGATGAGGACGCGGGAGTTGGAACTGTCAGAAAGATTTATCAATTTGTTGGGATTTTCAATAAGCCTGTGTCAAATCATTCTATTTTATTCACAAATAATTAACATGGCAAATGTCTCGTTTTGACTCTTGAATATTTGGGAGGAAATATTGGAATTAAGTTTCATTTAATGGCTGACATTGACAAATGCACTGTAATTTTTTTTGTTTTTTTTACATTTTTTTCGAATTCTGCTTTTTTTTTCCCTGTCTTGTCCATTCATTTTATGTTTGTTTATAGTCCAGTCGATTTTTAAGTTTTGCATTATCTCCTTTTCCTTCTTTCTCTCTTTCTCCCCTTCACCAGATTGCACTCTTTCTGCCTTACTCCAAAAACAGCTTTTCTTTCTTTCTTTCTTTCTTTCTTTCTTTCTAATACTGTCCCGCTTTTACTTCCTTTGTTCTTTTTTTTTCTGCAGCGTGCCCATTCTCTTAACTTATTCTTCTTTTTCTTTGCCTGGCCTTCTTTCTTTTTATCTTTTCCTGTCTCACTTCTTTCTTTCTTTCTTTTTTGTCTATATCTTTCCACTCTTACCACCTTTGTTTTTGGTTTTTTTTTTTTGTTTTTTTTTATATTTCCGCAGTGTGTTCAGACTCTTTTAAATTTCGTTTTCTCTTCTTTTTCCTCTTTTTCTCCTTCTGGCATTACCTCTTTTTACTTTATTCTGTCTTACTCCTAAAACGGCCATTCATTCATTTATTCATTCTTTCTTTCTTTCTTTCTTGCTTTCTTTCTTTCTTTCTTTTTTTCCCTTTGATATCTCTCAACTGTTTTTTTAACTATATATCTACACTCTTAATTGTGGCTTTCTCTCTTTCCCAAGATTTACTCCTATATCTTTCTTTCTTTTTTCTTTCTTTTTTTTCTTTCTTTTATAAGTCTAGTCATTTTTAACTTTTACTGTGTTTCCTTTGTCTTTCTGTCATTCTTTTCATTCGCTTATTAATCTATTACTCGTAATATAGTGTCTTTCTTTCTTTCTTTCTTTTTGATATCTTCCAACTCTTTATTTCTTCTTTCAATTATATGTCCACACTCTTTTAAGTTTGGCTTTCTCTCTTTCTGTATTTTTTTATCATATTCCTAAAAGCTTCTTTCTTTTTTCTTTCTTAGTCTCTTTCTTTCTGAAGCTGTTACTTTGTTTGTTTCTTTCTTAGGCACTTTCTAAAGCTCTTTCTTTTTTTCTTTCAGTTGAAATTCACTTTGTATAATTACGTCTCTTTCACTTCTATTTCTATTTCCTATTTTTCCCATTCCTCCTCGAACAATTTTCACTATTTGGGGACACATAAATTGTTTCAATTCACTTCAAATATTAAATAAACTTCTTCCTAGCAGATTAGATACAAATATCTCCCGTAAATTCCCAAACTGAAGACAAATTAAACAAAGAAAAATAATGATTGGTCATATGACTTAAAAATGTACATCTGCCAATTTAAAAACAAAAAGTGTGCATTTCCTCAAATAAGGTCAAATTATGTCTCGAAAACTGACAGTAGAATTTTGGAATAAATCATTTGAAGACACACAGAAACATGCATATAGACACATACACAAGGACAGAAACACGCAGACACATATGCATGTAGACACAGAAACACGGACAAAACATGCATAAGCCAACACAAACTCACGTAACCACGCACACAAACATGCACGCAAAAACATACACACATAGTGACACATACACACAAACATATATGCAAACACACGTACAAAAAAAAGAAAATAGCAAATAATCTTCACACATAAATCTATATAAAAAGAAAGAAATATGAAATGACTTTAAAAGAAGAGGATCATAAAACCAAACTGGAATTTAAAAGTCAAATAAAACAACAAATGAAGAACAATTTGTGGAAAAGAAAAAAATATTACTTGTTTTAACCAACTCCCCTTTTCGCTTGCAGGTCAAGTATAAATTAGGGAAACTATTTTTCAACTTACTTAAAAAACACTTCCCCCAAAATTCCGAATTATAAAAAAATATTTAATAAAAACACAGTTAAATTAAGCCACAGCTGCACAAGTAATTTAGAAACTACAATAAAAGACAAAACGATAGAAATTTCAAAACGTGCACAAAACATTGTTAACAGTGAAATATGCAATTGTAGAAATAAAAGTAGATGTCCATTAGATAGAGTTTGCAAAACTGAAGCAGTAATTTACAAAGCAAAAGTAATAGATACAACTGGCCAGAAAAAATATACATAGGGTGTACGCCGTAGTTTTGGCTATTTCTTTTATTTTCCAAAGTACTTTTAATCTCATCCAAGATCATCTTCATCATTTCACTCCAAACAAACAACCCAATTATCAAAAATTCTAGCAAAATATACATTAACAAAAATTCAAACCATACTGAAAATTAGAAAAAAACATACAAATCAGCCCTAAGAAACAGCGCATATTCAAAGAAACTAGAATGCAAAAACGAAAATAATTCAAACAAAAACAACAGAAAAAGAAACATAATTTCGTTCATCCTCTACAACAATACAATAAAAAACAAAAATAGAGACAATATTATACAAAATAACAAATTATTAACAAAAACTTCCCTAAAAACAGCAAATTATCAAAAATTAGTTACAGCTGCATGGATAACATAGAGAACATAATAACTAAGCACAATAAAAAATATTCAACAATACCGATAACAATTGCAATAGCAATATAATGTATCAAAATAGCACTATTAAAGGTAAATGCAGAAACAAAGAAAATTGTCCATTTAACAATAAATGACTAACAACATAATATACAAAGCTATGTCAACTAATAAGATTAACACAGATGAAACAATTAACACAAGCGTCATAGAAAAAAAAAACTTTTAAGAAAAGATACTAAAACCACAAAATGTCGTTCGAAAGAAAAAATACAAAAACAATACAAATCTGTCAAAATACATATGGAGCAAAAAAAAAGTAAACAAAATATCCCCACCAAAATATAAGAGGAAATTATAAAAAGCGCAGCCACATAGAGTATTATCAGTAAAAATTGTAAATTATGCCGAGAGGATAAATTAGCAATAATTTGTTTTAAAAACCAAAATAAATTCATAAACAAGAAAACTGAAATAATGGGTAAATGCAGGCATATAAATAAATACTTATATTACCATTTAAGCACTAATTAAAAATAAACAAATAAATATAAATAAAATAAATATTATATAAACTTTAAATAAAAAATGGATGAAAGAAATATATTAACTTAATTTAGTAATAATGAATAAATAAACGAACAAATATTAAACATACACACCAATCTATACGCGTGTGCTCATGTACATATAAATATCTACATACACACAAACACCAAAAAACGAACAATCCTAACCACACCTTTTAATTAATTCCTCAATATATAATACCAAGGCAAAAACAAATTACCCCTGATCCATTAAAAAATGAAACATTAAATAAAATAAACGATATATATATATATATATATATATATATATATATATATATATATATATATATATCGAAACAACAATTTTATTAACCCAACCAACCATAATTAATACCTTTTTAAAAATATAAAAAATAACTTCACCATTTAAACACTAGGTTATTAATAACAAACTTCATACATGAGTATATATGTACCTGTGTACGCGCATTTATATGTATATATGTGCTTGTACGTATACCTATATATGCGCGTGCATAAATGTGCACATGTACGTATACAAAAGGTTTTAAATACTGACATAGGCACATAAATTCAAATAATAGTAAATAAAAAATTAATTATAAATCTAACCTCCTACAATTAATACTTATGACCAAACCAAATTAAACAGGAAAATAATAACAGAATGTAGATATATAAGTATAAATATATGTGTATGTGTGCAGATATATATATATATATATATATATATATATATATATATATATGTGTGTGTGTGTTTATATATATATATATATATATATATATATATATATACATATATATATATATGTGTGTGTGTGTATATATATATATATATATATTTACTATTTAAGCGTTAATATATATATATATATATATGTTAAGAAATGGACGAGGTCCGACAATTTATTTATTAAAAGACATTTTATTTATGTTTAACGTTGTTATTTTTATAGATACAAGTATTTAAGTATTTTGTTTATCATAAACAAGCATTGCTTAAATACTTGTATCTATAAAAATAACAACGTTAAACATAAATAAAAATGTCTTTAATAAATATATATATATATATATATATATATATATAAAGTACAGTCTTTGTGTTTGTGTGTGTTTGTGTCCAAGCAACTCGTTCAATCCCACTGGTCTGATTTCAATGGTTCATAGTTCATTCAAAAGCTCTACAAACGTTAGGCCCAGGGAACGATTTTCGTTGAGCTCAGATTCAAGGTTGCCAGATTATGTGACGTTAAAAAATATATATTAATATAATGTACTAGCCGTTATCGTGGCTTTCATAAGGGAGTTATTTTCCTTTTGTATACAAAATTGCAACTACCTTAAAATTTTAGACTAGCCATCCGGCAGCATTTAAGCTAACTCCTGTGGAAGAATTTTGGTTTGGACATCATCACAATATCTAGGAATTAGTAGATGCGATAGGCATCAATGCAGAAGAACTCAAAATTGATCGCTGCATTTAAGTATTTAATTAATATTTAAGCTTACCTTTTAAAAGTTCGTAGATAATTCTTCTGCTGTCACTTTTAGAGACGATTTAAAGACAATTTGATGTAAGTAAATCCTTATTTTCCGTACAAACAATTATTTTTTATTTCATGGGTGACAGAACAGGGGACAATTTATAAGATTAAATTAATATCGTGTAAAGATTGGAAAATAGAATTTAGAATTAGTTATACATTCAACATTTGTAGAGTTAGAGAAGCATAATAGTTAATTAAGAAAAATCTATATTATGGAATCCAAATGAATACAAGCGAAATTGGAGCTCAATTCTACCACGAATTCTGACATTAAAAGTCCTAGCTCTACTTTATAGTACTTTGTATTTAATCACCACACCCCATAAGGTCAGGTTGTGACACAAGGGTGGTTTAATGTGGGCAGCCCGAGCGCATACACCTGGGTTAGGAACAAAAATTGTCCGAGCCTCTGTGACTGTCGGTTGCGCTGGCCTCGGTGCAACCACCGATTCCTCTCTCTAGTGCAATGAGAGGGTGCGGCCACGGGCAGCTGTTCCTCAGGGTCGGCACCACTTAGTATAATTTTTCTTCCGTTACGACTCTGTCCTTTGACGGAGTTGCCTCTGAGTGCACTCTACCCAAAAACAGTGACGCAACTGAGAGATGATAGGGTGTTACAAACCACTCGAGAGAGCGATTTACACACTAGGTATTCACTCTGTCTCCCCACTAAGACGAGTTGTGACACAATGTCAGTTTTTAAGGTGGAGACCCGAGCGCGGACACCCGGGCTAGGAACAATAATTGTCCGGAGCATTGTAACACCGTATCCTCACTCCACTGAACCCACGAACTCTACAAGACCGGCCGTTGGTCCGGTATGGTCCAGTATTACAGGTTAGACACAAGTCTCCGGTTCCTAATGTCAATTCGAAACCACCCCCAGCCACGTTTTGATTTTTTTTATCCTGGAGAGTGGTCATCAAATCGTAGAAATCCTCAAGCTCCCCTTTGTTCCAACTTCGAGTTTGTCGGGTGAGAATAGGGTTAACAGAAAAGTAATTAACCAAATTGATTCGATTTTGAAAGGACAAAAGTTTATATATATATATATATATATAAGCAAATACACACACAAAAAATAATTCTTGTTGCACAAGGTTGAACGTTTCTTGTATGTGAACAAAACACAAATAATTCGAATAATTTCTGTGAGAGATGTGGCCTTCGTTTTAGCCCTTTTTGGCCTGTTCTTAGCGCAACTACTACAACCTTCAATGTTCCCGTTTTCAGTAGTAGTAATAGTAGTACTAGTATAAGTAGTATCAGCGGTAACGGTTCTTAGATGTTAGCGGTGGTATTTCGCTTCTCGCCCTCCGTTTCAACAACACACTGCGGACGCTTTCTTTTCAATCTCTAACGTCACTCTGGCATTTCGCTTCTCGCCCTCCATTTTTGTAACACACTTTTTTTTTTCAATCTCTGACGTCATTCCACTCAGTTCGACTGCATTCGAAGGCAGATGAACCCGAAACTTCTTACTCTTCCGGTTGGCTCGGCCTCTTTATATTTAGAACTGGTGACGTATCTGTTTTTCTAGTGTGAACGTACTGACATACTCTCAAATTACAATTTCACTCCTCCGAGAGTAAACAATTTGCTTTTCATCGATTGATTTCCAAGGTCCACAACAAGACTCTATTGTTATCACTTCGCTATCAACTACTCTGCCGATGTTTGTAAACTACAGAGAGTCTTGTTTCAAAAATAAATTCTACATCAAACATCCTTTATTTTAATTTCGATTCTCATAGTGTCAAAATCCATTTCTTTTTCTAAAAGTTCCAATTATCATTGTTACAGTAATTTTCTATTAGTAATCTGATATCTTTTGTACACTTACAAAAAGATTGTATTTCGTGTTCTAAATTAACTTTCTGTAACATTTATATTTTAAAATCTTTACAGCATTCTTGAAAACGCTCCGTTCCACACGGTGTTTTCTGATTTACAGCATATCCCTTTTTTTCATTATTATTATTTCAGTGGTTATATTATCACTGTTCAGGTTTAACTAATTTGCATATATATTTTAACAAAATTTATTTCATTAATTAACTGTCCTTCATTATTGTTCTTTTATTCGAGGATTGTTTTGATTTTCATATAAAAATAGTTCTGGTGAGGAATATCGTCTTATATAGCGCAGAAAAGTGTTTGAAATTTGCATTTTACTTGGCCTTCAACCAGTTGGCATCTATTTGTAAAACTTTGCTTAACTATAACAAGCCAATTTATAAATGAAATATTCATTTAAAATTTTTGTTTCAAAGATTTCAAGTAGTGAATATATCTTACTTTCGAGCGGGCGAAGCGTGATAGTATATTAATATTTATCATTCAAGCATTAATATCAATTATTTATGTGAAAAAAAAACGAAATACAACTTCCCTATCAAAAAATAAAAACGTATAAAAAAGAAATTAAAAAAACTAGAACGGCACAAAATTAAAATCGGTGGCATGTCTAGAAAATTGGAACTAATCTCAGGAACCGCCACTATCGAAAGAAAAGAAGAAAAAAAAATAAAGAAAAGAAAAGAAAAAACTAAAGAGCGAATGCAAAATGAAAAACAAAAACCAAAGGAAGAAAAGGACGCGATGCCCTACACGTACACACATCCGCGCAGACGGACGCATGGCTGCACGTGCACAAACGCACACACGAACATAAAAATTGCAAAAAAAAAAAAATAACTTACACTAAGCGTTTAAAAAGAAAAATCGAAAAATATAACCAATAAATTTCTGGTACCTCCTGAAGAGTGGATTGACAGGTACCAGTAAGTGGCAAACATTTACTTCTTAATCATATATATATATATATATATATATATATATATATATATATATATATATATATATATATATATGTTTGTGTGTGTGTGTGTGTGTTTAGGCAGCAAATTCTCTTTTAGGCATGTCTGATTGAACAAATTACATTATGTCTGCTTACTTTGATCATAATACTTCTATGTTATATTCACAACTATTTTTTCCGTATATTGCAATTAATTAAATAAGTCAAGAAATGCACTGTAATAGTGAGAATCACTTTTATTTCCAAAGTACTCATAAAGAGATAGAAAGTACTTGGGAAATAAAACTGTTACAGAGCATTTTTTGCCTTCTTTAATTGTTATATACGGAAAAATATTCGTGAATATGAATGATTATCATCAAAATAAGCAGACATAACGTTTGTAATTTATTCAATCAGGCATATATATATATATATATATATATATATATATATATATATATATATATATATATATATATATATATATATATATATATATATATATTTTCTCATTTTTATGATGTTTAATATCTTTCTCACAATTTCTTTCATTTAGTCAAATGTATTATTTCTTTTGTTCTTTCTTTCTCGAATGTTTTTCGTCGTTCTGCTATCAGAGGTTTGTCTGAAAAGTAACGGATCTGGTATCAGAAACAATATATTTCAATTCGAAACAATAAACTACATGATTTCCCCTTCAAATTAGACCACCTGAAGTCTAATGCACTTCTCCGTGCATATCTGCCACCCTTCTATGCCCTGCTGGAAAGATTCTTCTTGGATACCCCTCAGCTTCGTCGTTACGGCTCTTTTGATGGCCTCCGCACCTTCAAAGTGGGTCCGCTTCATGATTCCCTTGAGCTGGGGGAAAATAAAAATGACACGGTGTATAAAGAGGTGATTCCAGTATGGTGATATTCATCTCAACCAAGAACTCCCGAGTACTTAGGGCCTTGTGAGCAGTTGCATCGTCGTGGTGTCCTGCTACAACTGTTATCTTTTCTCGCGCACTGAGCGAAGCAAACACAGCAGGTAACTCTTTGTAGACATTCGAATTGATCGTCTGGCTCTGTGGCAAGAACTTCGCATTCTCTTCCGTCAAAGTCTTCGTTTTTTTTTTTTTGTTTTGTTTGTTTTCTCTACGCGGTGGTAAGCAGAACGTCTTCATCTACGCTGGAAGTTCGTCCGGAACGTGGTTGATTGCTTAGACTAAAATCACCGGGACTAAATCTGCCAGACCTCTTTTTAACCCTCTGAAGAGGCCAAGAACAATCCAAATTAACCTTCTGGATGTTTTGGTCCCCCATCTTAAGGCATTCAAAATGGACGAAATGTTAGCATTCAACAACGTCTGACTCGCAAATGAACAATGAAAGGTTTAAATCCACAGACGACAAGAAATCAGTACCAAAACAAACCCCAATGTCAAGTTGCGGTCATGTTATATTAACAATCAAAATCAGGCACGAACTTTTGAAATTATCTGATAGAATTCAATAACAATACATAATGCATTATTTATATTATTCGGACTATTGTCCTCATCTTTGTCGCCATATTTATCACAACGTTTTGGCCGTTGTACGCTCCGGCCTTCTTCAGGTGGTTGGAATTTCGAACTGAACCCTTTATTTCGCTCACTGGAGTAGACTGTTCTAGTTCCACGTGCCATGTTTGATGGATGTCAGTTTTCAGTTATCTCCTGCTAATTTCCCTCTGAAAGTTGGAAAGTGAGTTCCACAAGTAAGAAGTATAAGAGAAGAAACTATCAGCATAGAACTTACGGCAACATCTAGCCAGCTCAACTGTAAACCAATGAGATTTTCACGACAGTCTAGCGCTGTGCTTAATTTCAAAAAGGCTAGGTACCATAGCGAAGAGATCATCTGAACAATTATCATGAAATAATTTTATACATTATTTACATTATTCGGACTATTGTCCTCATCTTTGTCGCCATATTTATTACAATGTTTCAGCCGTTGTATACTCCGACCTTCTTCAGGTGGTTGGAATGCCGAACTTAACCCTTTATTTCGTTCACTGGAGTAGACAGTTCTAGTTCCACATGCCATGTTTAATGGATGTCAGTCATCTCCTGTTAATTCCCCTCTCCAATTTCTCCACTGCCTTAACCGGGTCTTGAACTCACACTCTTTGGGTCCTGTCACTGGATCTAACCAACGCCTTTGTCCACTGTGCCATGTGTCCTTGAGGACACATGGCACAGTCTACCCCAGTGAGCGAAATGAAGGGTTCAGTTCGAAATTCCAACCACCTGAAGAAACGTTCTTACGTCATTATTTTTGCACCAACCTAATAGAAGTTGGGGCGGAGAGATAATAATGGTTTAGTGATACAAGTCTTACTAATTAACCCATATTTGGGGTCGGAAATGGTATTTGCGCGGAACTGAGTATAACAAAAGCAACGAAATTTGGAACTCGGCACTCCAGTTAACAAATCCATTACACAAACCGTACATCCAAGCTTACAGCACGGGGTATTCCCCAAAAGTCACCCATCTAAGTACTGACCCAGCTCGACGTTGCTTAACTTCGGTGATCGTAAGGGAAGAAACTAATTTCACACATTCAATTCCAAAATTCATCATAATCACCCAGCAAAATCAAATATATTAGTATCCCCAATTTTAGTAGGATTACGTTAACATTCCAAGATTGAAACATAGAAGCCACGGAACACCCACGAAAAATTGATACATACATACTAACGCCATAAAATGAACACGTGACATCTACCCAACCAATGAAAACAAAAGATAGAATTAAAAAATAGAAATATAATTTTGCATTATACTATTCACGAAAATTTCTGAAATAAATATAAAATTTATAAAGGTTTTATAAATTTTAAATTTATAAAGGTTTTTCTTATTTGTTCACTATTTAGATCATCTTGTCAAATTTAACCCATGTCTTCAATTCAAACATACACACACACACACACACATATATATATATATATATATATATATATATATATATATATATATATATACGGGCTGATTGAAATAAGTTCCCTATTTTATGAATGATGGACTTTCCTGTTTTGTAAAAATTATAGTTAGACGGGAGAGTCCATTACGCATAAAATAGGGAGTTACTTTTCAATAACCATGTATAAAACTGAACTACAGCATTGATAACATCGAATGCGTGCTTTTAGCGTCTTCATTTAAGTGCAAACAAGCACGAGTTAAAATACATTTCCAAAATTGAATCACATATCGAAGGATTAAAAGAGCAATTTCGACTTACTCAGAGAAGACAGTTTCCACAGAAAGCCTTTTAGAAACCCCTCCACAACCCTAACCGTAGCAAACTACTAGGCTAAAACTATTAAATTAAGAATAATGTAACAAAAGGAAAAAAAAATAACAACCACAAAATTCACCTGAATTGTGAGATCCCTTTTCATTGTTTATTTCTCGTTTCAGATAAAGGACACAGTCGTGTCCGAAAATTCCGACTTTAAAATTTATCATTTTGTTGTCTTTTTTACTCCTCGAATTTCATTAACCGGCCAATTAAATGTACATGGGCATATTTTCTTTTTTATTATATATATATATATATATATATATATATATATATATATATATATATATATATATATATCTGTGTGTGTGTGTGTGCAAGTAGACAGTAAGGTCAATGCCGAAAAGCGACAGTCTGTTTCTTGATGGCCTGAAGATTGACTTCAAGCAAGAAATAGACTGTTGACATTCTGTGTTGAACTCAGTGTCCACTTTTATATTTACATACACTTTTCTCTGGTTTTGAGGACTTTTACCCATAAATATAGCACACCATAAAACTATATTTTTATCATATATATATATATATATATATATATATATATATTCATGAATTATTCACACAAAAACAAATGCAAAGGTTAATGATTTAATTTGCGAGAAATCCATCGTCGCAAACACTTCAAATAATATGCAAAAACCTCCGAATCCGTTATGAATGAAAAGATCCTTGTTTCTATAAATTTTTGCCGTATTAGTTCTTATTTTTACTACAAGCTTTCGTCTGTTCCTACAGACATCTTCAGGTATGGAATAGATGTTCTTGTTTTTTCTCTTTGTTTTTAAAAGCTTGATTCAAAACATACGCACATGCACACACGTACACACACGCATACAGATGCACAAAAAGAAAAAAATAAGCATAACTCCGATAAAAAAGTACAAATTGTTTTTAGTTGAATATAAAAATAACGTAAATGAGGAAATCGGCAGTCAGTTACTGAAACCTCCTGACGAGTGAACTGAATGTTTACAAAAATGTCCATCTACGAAACTCTGGAGTCGGTGGTTCTGAATATAAATCAATCAGCTAAGTGACAAATTTTATATCTGTATTAATCCTATATCAGGCATACGCTAGCAGCTCACTCTGAAGAGCAACTACAGCGACTAATGGGGAATTTTTTCTAAAGCCTGCCAAGCGTTCAGTTTGATCACCAGTCTGAAAAAGACCAACGTGATGGGTCAAGACGTTGAACAGCCTCCCGCTATAAAAATCAACAACTACAACCTGGAGGCGGTTCACGAATTCACATACCTTCGCTTCACGGTTTCAAACAACCTTTCTCTAGACCAAGGGTCGGCAACCGACGGCCCCCGAAGGCATTTTGACCGGCCCGCGAGCCTGATTACCAATGACTATTTTTAACATGAGAGATAGAATTAGACTATCTGCCAGTTATCTTTCATGAGACTTATTTTAACAAGTTACGTTGCCTACATTTAATGTCAAATAATGGATACATATTTGTTATGACCCTTGGCTACATTAAAAGATAACAGTAGCGAAAGGAACGATAAAATGAAAGAGGCCAGGAAGGGACTGACATGCGAGGGAGCAGAAATCTAAAGACAGTTAAACATACGCGCATTATACATACATGCCTCATGAATGTGTGGATAATACCGCAAGTGTACGTACGTAAGTGTATATGTTTGCAAATATTTGTACTCGTATGTATGGGTATATGTGCTTCGTTTATGTTTGATGTGTGTGTGTGTGTGTGTGTGTGTGTGTGTGTGTGTGTGTGTGTGTGTGTGTCTGTGGTGGTTCATTTGTGAAACAATTTTCAATAACAGTTTCAAACCTAGACGTCATAATTTCATCCATTTCACTTCGGTTGATTTTTTTCTCTTTAAAGTATTTTGACGTTCCTTGAGGAAAAGTAATTTTTGTTAGGTGTTTTTTTAATTTTAGATTTTGTTTTGTTTTTCTGATTTCTCAATGTTTATTTTCATTATGGTTTTAAATATTTAGGTTGACAGGAGTCTGCATATGTAATTTTCCTTAATTTTTCATTAATGACCTTCGTCCGGCCCGCGACCCGTCATTATAACACGATCCGGCCCGCAGGGTCGAATGAGTTGCCGACCCTTGCCCTAGACGGATCGGACGTGATGACACCACGTATTCCAGACTGACCACAAGAGTGTGGGAGAACAGAAAGCTTACTACGAACAATGAGGTCTATAATGTATGCGTCGTCAGTGTGCTGTTCTACAGCAGCGGTACTTGGAGCCTCTACTCCAGACAAGAGCGACCTCCTCAACGCCTTTCATTTTCTCTGTCTGAGATGCATTCTGAGCATCAAATGGTACGACCGGGTCAACAATTCCATAGTTCCACCCATGCCAAGTTACCCAGCATATACACCCTTCAACATGTACACCGTATGCCGGATAAGAGGGTTCTGAAAGTCTGTACGGGGAACTGGCCACCCACAAGAGGGCCACGAGGGTGACCTCATTTTCGCTTCAAGGACATCTGCAAAAGGGAAATGAGGGTGATGTACATGGACATCGAGAGGTGGGAAGATGTCACTAAAAATTGCTCACATTGGTGGAGCGATTTACACCAAGTGTTGCAGGGAGAAGAGGAGAAACAGAGTCTTGCTACCAGGGAGAAGCGTGCTCAACGGAACTGGGTGACATCGGGAGAGAGCGTATTCACATACATTCGCTGCAATCGAGACTATGACTCCCACTTGACCCGGTAGAGCCATAACAGATGCTGCGCTTCTCTCGGCAGCTGACTCATGACTATTTGGACGAAGATTCGAGACCGCCGGATACCACATACATCAGACATATGTGTGTACATTTGAACATTAACTTGTATAAGTAAAATCTACGCTCAAGAACCATATAAGCTCTAAAAAAATACCTACGTTGTGATAGGACTTTCTTTGGAACCACTGATTAAACTTTCTTTCATGTTTAAAAGTTTCCCTTAAAAATAAATTTGCATTTCTTTTGTAATAGAAACTGCATCGTGCTTGAGTGAGTCTCTTAAAAATACGGAGGAATTTTTTTTTTATCTGCTAATTTGAAAAATAAAAATAAAAGATAGGTTACAATCCTTATTAATTATTATTGAAACCCGAGGCAAGAAAAAGTTAACGAAAAAAATTATCAGAGAAAAATTTTCATTATTTTTAATTAGTAATAATTTGCATTTTCCAACAAGTTTTAATTTTCATTTTGCGCTCGGCTTATTTTTTCTAATTCTGTAGCTCATTTTTTTTATTGTCTGCTTTTGTATAATACGATTACATAAAATTTTCTTTTATTTGAGTTTTTTCTTCATTTAATCTTATTAATTAAATGGCTAAGAAGATACAATTTCGCCGCGTGTTATTATCAGGCAAATCTAGAATATGTTTCTTTCAATTTTGAAACGAAATACCATCTGAATCTAAATAAATATATGAAAAGAAACAAAATATAATTTCAGATTCTTCCTTATAAAATAGATTAAATATATTTATCATTACAAAATTAGAAACAAATTGTATCAGATTAAAAAGATTCATTTTAAAGTTGATACAATCGCAAAGTAAAAAAGAAATATGGAAGTCTCATTAAATTCACAGGTTTTGACTCGACAAGAGAAGTTGAAGATTTTCTCAGTCAATCAAATTAAAATGATTGATGAATTGCAGAATATTTTTACCTATCAATGTTTTTTTTATCAAACCTATTTCTTTCATAAGATGTCATCAGATTTTTTTTAATCTTATTCACTTACTTCTGTACACCCACTAATAAAACTTATTAGTCTTAAGTTGTCAGAATTTTTTAGATAAAACATTGTCATTATTATTCAATTTAACATGACTTACATTCATGCATATATATATATATATATTATGAAATAGACAAAGTCCGACAATTATTTTAAGACATTTTTATGTTTATACACTCTTTTTATAGATACAAATATTTAAGCAAATGCTCTGTTTTATAATAAACAGTATTTATAACATTTTCATAGAAAATATTCGTACTCCGACAGGAATTGAACCTGTATCCTATACGGAACCGTCATATAGCCTGACGTGTCTTAACCGACTGAGCTACAGAGGATCGTTCGTTTTTACTGCTTTTAAACTACAATCTTCCATGAATCTCTCACGTACATTCATATCTGCTTAAAGCGTATCCAAATGTAAACAAAAGACATCACAAATTATGAATTCACAGAAAATATTAGTCCTCCGACAGGAATCGAAACTG